GGGGTACAGCGCCGTTCCCCCTCGGGCCCCGCCGGCGTCTTGCGCTCCTAGTTGCCTTTATCGGTAGCCTTCGGCTCTCTCTTCGGGGGGTTGACATACGAGCGGGTCTTCATTGCTTCCAGTGGCAGTGAGCCCATTCCCATCTAAGCCTTCTACTTTTTTATTTAGTCACTACTGAAAGTGGGGGTGTGATAGCAGAAGTTTTAAGCAGCTTTATGTAAAAGTGCTGGTTTCACTCATTCCTGAACGCAAGAACTTAACTTCATTTAATTTATTGAAGTCCCTTTATTTATTCAGATTGGGCATTGGAGGAATGTTTTTTTTTAATGAGAGCAGTCATCGATTTGGCCTGTACACTGATAACTGTCAATCCCAAAACAGGCATTTTGCTGAGAGCATGCCCGTTTCTAGTTATATCACAACTCAAGAGATTTAGCTGGCTGGAGAGACATGGTACATGTTATGAAATGATGGCCTATGGTAAGGTAATTGTGATTATCTTTTAAAAATAATGTTTTAATTCTAGTTTGGAGGGGTATTGTCCAGTAATCATAGACATGTATGCTGTTAACAAAACTACTGCCACCTTTGGAAACTTAGTAATTACTACAGTTGTTCAAAAAAGACTTCGTGGTATTTTAATCTGAACTTACTTTCAGCTATCACGCTGTACTTATATAATTCTCCCCCGCCCCACCAAATACTTAACTAGGTCTTCATATGGTCCTTAAACCATATGAAGACCTAGTCTTCACCATATCTCCATATGTGATGGAGATAACGTTTGTATGCCAATTATTCCATTGTGGTATTCAACTTTAGACTTGTTTTGCACTTGGATCATTTGTACTTGCTCTTTGAAATCTCTGGTTTACTAATAACTTCTTTGGACTAGATGCTATATTCTGATAAAGCAGTTCCAATAAACACAGGTACAGAAGTAGTCATCCTATCACTGCTTCCTGAAATGCAGCAATGTCTTTTGCCAATGGAGATCAGTACTTGAAAAATCTGGTTTGGTAATTGTCCTGTTTCTCTGGCCTCTTCCTCCCTGCAATGAAAGCAGCATTTGTTTCTGGTGGTTTGTTTTCTGAGCCATTTAACAATTATATTTCCAATTTTGAACTCACTTATGCATAAGGAACCCGTGTTTGCTCTGTTATCAGCTATTACAACTACTTCCTGAGGAAGTTGTCCATCTATAAGTGTTTTATATTCATCCCTTTTAAATACATGACCTCACACTGATCATGCTGAAACACTTAATTTTCCAGTAATCCAGATGGTTCCAAATCAGCAAGCTTGCCACATTATTTACTTAGAGCTTTTATGGATGTTCTTAGTAAACTTTATTTCCAGATAAAATATTGAATAGCTTGGTGCCAAGAACTAATTCCTGTGGGATTCAATTAGCAGTATGTCTTGACTGATTCCTCATTGATGACACAGACCTGTAACTTTAGTTTTCATTTACTTACTATGGACTATATGTGCACAACTATGCCAGTTTCTCGGTGTCCTACTGAACAGGTCAATGTAAAACGTGTTATATCAACACTGTTCCTATTATCTACCAAATGTATGCTCTAATTGCATGAGAAAAAACATCAATCTGAAAAGATACATTTTCCATACATTTAAGCTGTGTAATTTAAGTAAAATTTCCTCATTTATTTCGTGTTCTTATATCAAGAAGTCAATATTTTTTCTTTCCCTGGATTAATGTGAGGTTGACAGTTCCTGAATTTGTTCCTTTCTTACTAGCCCCCCCCCCA